TTCGCCGACAAGCGGCGGTCGCTCGGTCGGTATAGTTTGCTTGCGGACTAAAACCACGAAGTTTGTTTTCTGTTTTCTGTTTTGTAACGTGTTAACTCAGTCGGTATAATAACTAGGGATCACCGACCGGAGTTTTTATTGTCGATGAGGGTATGGATTTATGTATAGTGTTGCATCCTGTTTGTGATGCTTAACAAAAATGTAGAGTTTGCCGTAACACGGATATGTTTTTATTTATCAATTCACAACACGATTTTGTCCACTCCTCCATACACCTTAATTTCTTAGTGCTTAATTAGTTACGCTTAGGAACAAGTTTACCTTTTCACATATAATTACTACTGAACGCGCCAGTTTACTGTTGCGTTTGGTGTGTATAGTGAACTACGTATCTCCTTTTCCCGACTGGAGTTCAGAATCTGTTACGTACCTGTTTGCAAGCATTTCACGCCTACATGGTTGGCAGAAAAGCTGTAAGAACTGCTACTCGCCACGTCAGCCATCTCTTAAAAAAAATATGTCGCGCTGCTGAACACGTTCTGTCAGACTCCAGACCGAAAATATATGTTTTTTGTGCAAAAGTTTGGACTTACATAAAGGCTAGAATACCATGGATGTAGTGACAGCAGCAGTGAATATCTTCCGGTAGTGGCTAATATCAGTGTATCGGTTCCTTCAGGAGCAAGGTCTTATAAATCGCTGCCGTTGGCAGACCTGATATTGAACTTATGAGAAACTGTGGGTTTGAGGAACAGCCGCTCTTCTTTGCACTCATCAGAGCCTAACGAATTAACGTGTTCCTTCACTACACATAAATATACAATACGTGATAATAATATATTTAAAAACAAATTATACGAAATATTAAAAATCTGCAAAATATGAATGAAAACCGCAATCCCGAAAGTAAACTTTTTTTTTGCGAATGCCTTTACAGCCCTTCCCACCGCAAATTTGGATTTCTTGTTACGGAAACCAGAAATGTTTCATGTGTTCACAATTGAAAAGTAAGGATACATGGAGTTGGATGTCAGATGGAAAACTGCGTAGACTTGAAGTCTCTGATTCGCAAAACCACATGCGGTGAGTGAATGCTGTACACGAAACTATTTTTTCTTGACACATTCCAACGGACTGGCGTGGTTGACGTAAAACGTCACGTTTCACATACCCTATATCGAAGTCTGGGTCATGTGTGTGTGTGTGTGTGTGTGTCGTTACCGGTCCACGAGAATAACAAGACGTAGCGGCCGTCTCTATTTACGCTCCACATTATGCTCATGGATCTAGAAAGGTAAAGATAGAATTGTTTCCTTTCCTCTTGCTCCCACTTTGGAGCACAGGGCTGATTTCTCAGTTTCATGATTATTTTACAGTCGGTAGGACTCCTTGGACGGGTGATCAGCTCGTCGCAAGGCCTCTACCTAAACACAGGACAACATAAACAGAATAAACACGCACACAGACATCCATGCCTTGAGTGGGATCGGAACCCACGATCCCGGCTTCCGAACGAGCGAAGACAGTACATGCCTTAGCTCGGCTACCGTGACCGGGAAAGATAAAATATAGGGAGCTGTAATATTGTCGGTTGTTTGTATGAAATGTGGCCTCTCGCATAAGGGGAAAAGAAACATAAATTTGATATATTTGATAACAGGGATCTGGTCTAGAAAATCGAGATTAATGGCTGTGGAAATCCGTTGCGCTGATCACGCGACACCCTCTATCCGCTAGATTTGGCACTAGCTTTGCCGATACGCGGCGGTCACTCAGTCGGTATAGTTTGCTTGCGGACTACAGGCCACGGAGAAGGATAACAAGGTGCTAAGGAGAATATTTTGACGAAAGCGAGAGGGAGTATCAGGAGACTGGAGGAAACCACGTAACGGGGAGTTTTATATTCCTCGAATAATAAAATATAGGACAAGAAAGAAGGGCTTATAATTCGTATAATTCGTAGTTGGAAACCTGGGGGAAGGAGTAACAGACGACTTAGGAGGCCAAGGCAAAGGAACCTGGCGATCTTTCCAAAAGTATATACGTGTAAATCAGTGGTTTCATTTTAATTTTTAATTTATTATTACAAAATGAATGAGCATTGAATTCCAATTTATTCCACATACATTAAATTGCATCTCTGTTTATTTTGTTTTGAACAGCGCATCACTTAGATGTTGCCCGACCGCGCTCGCAGGTTTCCAGTGCTCGCCTTCCCATGTTTTCTGATATCGCTGAAATTTGCTTCCGAATTGAGATCTTGAGGTCTTCGGTGGTCCGTAGTCTAATGGTATACACTTTCGTTTTGAGGTACCCCCAAAGGAAGTAATCAGCAGCAGAGAGGTCAGGCGAACGTACAGGCCATGGAAGCTCCGCGTGCAGTGAAATAACGTGCTGAGGGAAGTATTTCCCGAATGATCTCCTTGGATGCTCTCGCTGTATGGGCAGTTGCGCCATCCTGCTGGAACCATATGGTCGAGAGCTCAGTTCTAATGTGAGAAAGTTCCGTAACATTTCAACATAACGAGCAGATGCGACTGGAACTGCACGCCCAACTTCATCTACAAAGATATAAGTGCATTTGACTCCGAAGTTCGCCACTCCACACCAAACAGTCACACGTGAACTGTGAAGTTGCCGTTGAAGGAGGCGTTGTGGATTCTTCTCTGCCCAGCAGCGAAAATTCTGTTTGTTGACACAGTGGACGTGTACTTCATCTGCTATAAGGATAATGACATGTCGGACAAAATTGCGATTAAACGCTCATCTACCCTGCTAGGGTTTGCCACGTCACGATCGCTTAAGTCTTGCACCACCACCATTTTGTACGGATGCAAATTTAGATTCTTGTGTAAAATTCTCCTCAAGCTGCGATTGGATATTCCTAGAGCAACAGAATGTCTCCTGGCTGAACACGTAAGGCTCCTTATGCATGACTGCCTCAGCTTCAATGTTCTGTGGCATCACACTGTACTCACACTGCCTGGTGGTTTCTTTCTTAACGCGGAAGCACTCGTTCTGAAGTCTTCTACGGATATCTGTATGGTACTGCAGCAAGGAACTTTTCCGTGAGGAGTAATATTGAAATTCTTGCGAAATATTCTCAGTGTTTTAACCAAAGTCACCATAAAAGAAAACGTTTCGGCAATAAACGCACAGTGTTGCGTGCGCCCTCCGCTGCTCCATGGCTACTACAACGGCAACAGTTCCCGCCATCTCATCCTCAAGGGTTACCAACATAACGCATTTTAAAGGTCGTCAGGTTGCTTTGCCGCATCTTGTAGACGGGAGGTGGTGTTAAAATGGATAAAATCAACTCATTTGTATAAATATTGCGTCCTTTTAACAGTTAAGTTTCGTGTGGAGGCGGGGTCGAATACCTCCATCGTACCTGCCAGTCGGAGGCGACGAAAAGGGAAGTCTCGAATCTGAGACAGCAAAATATGTTCGCGAGTCCCACGGGACTCGGACCCGAGAATAATTGTGCTGACGAGTGCCAGCAGTAAACTGACCAACCCGTCCACTCGTCAGAGAGGGCGTCCAACATTAACAAACCCGCAACTGTCTGACAGTAATAAAAATCTCGTCGTAATCCCCAGATGGGTGCTTATTCCAAGACAGACTGACCGACTGACCGTCAGTCGTAACATAAGACTCGGACTCAACAGTTCAAATTTGGAAGCTAGTTCAAATTTGGAAGCTGCATTACTTCGGCGGTGATATTCTGTTGTAAATATCCATTACTTATGCTGACAAAAATAAATAAATAATTAAATAAATTAGAGGCATCTCACACTTCAGGGGTGATGATAAAAAGTGAATCTTAAAGTTCCAGTTGTCAGACTATCCGTCACGTATCTTTGGTGCTCGGTGTATGTTACGTGTATTACGGAAATCGTATGGCGAGTAAATACCTTCGGGCCATTGAGATGCCTTCATTTGTGACATAAAACCTAGGAACCTTGCCTGTAACTTTTCCTGCCTAAAGACTGGACTTAACCCTTAAATATTCTTAGAAAGAGGAAAGTGTGTATGCCCTATAACTTTTGACATATGTCAAAATCGTCAAATTTTGCTTAAACCCTTCTTACCGAGCTGTTCACTTTGACTTCCGATGACTCTTACGTTGAAATTCAGTTGATGAAGGTGGTAGTAGAAACTCAATTGGGCACAGCGGTTTCGAATCTGTAGTATGCTCAACTTCTTTACGAAAGCCGTTCGATATATTCTTGTTCTCAATACAGTGTCCTGCCGTAACCGTCAAAACATCACTCACTCATGGAGCTGAGCCCTTCTGGAGGAGCTGCCAATTATACAGCTACTCAAGAACTTCCCAGCATTTTATGGAACCCGAAGGTTTATTGCCGTCTTCATAAGGGCGCTCCACTGGTCCCTACCCTGAGCCAGATTAATCCAATCCATACCATCCCAACCTATCTCTCTGAGATCCAGTTTAATATTGTCCACCCCTCTACGCCTTGGTCTTCCCAGTGCTCTCCTTCCTTCCGGCTTTCCCACCAGTATCCTAGATGCATTTCTCCTCTCCCCATTCGTGCTACATGCCCTACCCATCTCATCCTCCTTGATTTGATCATTCTAATCAACATAATCAAAGTCGGGGCCTGAAAGGGGTGAGATGGAGCCCGGGTTAGTCACAAATATTGGGCCCTCCACTCCACTCCGAAACAGGAAATCCATTTTTCTTGCCATGAAAGGCTAAGAATAGCAAGTAAAAGATCCACATAAACTGAATTCTTGTTTTCTTATTATAATTTATGGGAAATTAAATAGGAGCATGGTTGGGCCCTTCCTAGGCCAATGGCATGGGCCAGAGGGCCCAGCTTCCTTCTGTACGCTCCTGATCGCAGGCAAATACGTAAGTAATATTTGCGTGCAGATGATAGGGCCTTTGTTTTCCTTTTAGAGGAATGTGTTGAGAAGAAAGTTTCAGTATATTTATGTCTGTCGATAAATTTAGAAATTCATGTCTGTTGTTGCAGAGTCCGGGCACCGGTTGGATAGCGGGAGTCTGTTCTGGAGGATCCAGCTTGACCAGGATCTGCTGGACACTATTATCGCCATATACCCGGAGTGGTTCAAGGTGAGGGAGTATTGCGACGTATCAGTCTTCACGTTATATCTAATCACAGAAGAAGGCTTGTTTGAATACAAATTTGTACCTTCTCGGGACCTTCATGAAGTTTTAATTTGATAAAAGTTTCTCAGAATTAAAATTAAGTTGTTTTGTTCTTGTTGATAATGTTGAACGAAACTAAATATGGAACTTCCTTTGTTTGTTTCTTTCTGGTTAGTGACTGCATTAATATTAAGTAAAGTCGTTTTTATGGGCTGTGCCGTGAAAGCAAGGAATGGAAGGCCTTGGTAGAACAGGTCTGTAGAAAAATGGGGCATAGTTTTAGGGACTCAAAGATTAGGATAATTTCTTTGTGAAATATGTTGAAGATGTGCGGGGTTAGACAGTTGCCAAAATGGTTGTATTCTAACTGATAGGCCTGAGTTCTATCGCCGGCAAAAGTGTTCCCCGATTCTGTGCAGAACGCCCCCAAGATCTACCCTACAGAAAGTAAAAACGACCACCGACAACGTGAGACTTACATTCATGAAGCAGATTATGACGCTGGATCACGACACCTTGCAGCCGATTTTCCCGCCGAATGATATGAAATAGAAATAAATGAATAAAATATTGGTAATATATCTGCAATACTAGAAGTAGAGAAGTAGACTGACTACAAGTTCTTCACGGAATTGCTTTAGGTTTGGCATATACATCACTCACTCATGGAGCTGAGCCCTTCTTCAGAAGCTACCAATTGTTGCAGCTACTGAAGAACTTCTCAGCATTTATGGAACCCGAAGGTTCATTACCATGTTCACAAGAGTCCTCCCCTGGCCATATCCTGAGCCAGATCAATTCAATCCATCCCATCCCATCTTATCTATGATCCATTTTAACATTGTCCACCAACCTACGCCTTGTTCTTCGCAGTGGTCTCTTTCCTTCTGGCTTTCCCACAAATATCCTATATGCATTGCTCTTCTCACCATTCATCCTACGTGCCCTGCCCATCTCATCATCCTTGACTTGATCATTCTAATTATACTTGGAGAAGAGTACAAGTTAAGAAGCTCCTCATTATGTTGGCATATGCATAGTGTGGGGAAATATTGCCCCCCCCCTCTCGAGGACTACCGCTTTCTCGTGAAGAGGAGGTTTGCGCGCTCCAATAACCCGGAGAGATATGCTGGCGGGAGGGTAAGCTCTTCGTAGAGCCTTCCAAGTCAGACAGGTCAAAGGGTAGGGTCCAGACGGTGTGTTGTCTTTGATCTTCCATGTTGGGGGCTGGGCGTGGGGCTAACGACCCCACCTCGAAAAGAATTACTGTTACGAAACCATGAAGAAGGCAATGACCGACACAGAGTTGCGGCGCAGGTAATCAGAGAAAAGCATTTTGGTCGTGAGAAAATGATCGATGTCAGGATTTTGACGGATTGACACAGCATCTCGTTATAAGATAGAGTGGCTTTTGGAATGCTTTCTGTCTATATGAATGCGCCCCGCATTCACTGGTGTCTGTCCATCATAAGTACGTTCCCGATGAATTTGATTATTTTTCTTTTCTTGCTCTCAGTTTGGAACATTCGGCTGATTTCTCAGGTTCATTGATTATTTCTACAGACTGTAGGAGTCCATGGATGGGTGATCAGTTTGTCACAAGGCCTCTACCTAAACACAGGACAACATAAACACAGAATAAATGCATACACAGACATCCATGCCTTGTGTTGGGTTTGAACCCACAATCCCCGCTTCTGAGCGAGCGAAGGCAGTACATGCATTAGACCGCTGGGCTACCGTGACCGGCAATTTGATTATTATAACTCCAAAAATAGGTGTCCTTCACAGGGGCCCACTGGAACAATATCGCGATGTTCTCGAACGCTGCTCTAATGATTTTGATTATATTTTACTCGTTTATGGAGACAATTTCCCTAAATAATATTGCGAGTTGATATCTTCATGAAAATTAGGGTACTTCATTTACCTGCCAAAGCGCGAAGTGTCAGCTGTCTCGCTTAACCAGTCTTGATTGAATTTTAGTTATGTGTGCAGACATTGGGCCCCAATAATGTAAACGTATAATACAGCAGTGTGGCCCATGAGAAAGTATGTCCAGTGTTTTGGCACCGTTGCCGTTTGTGGTCTGTTTTTTATTTTATTTTTATTACTTATGGGGTGGGACCAGGTCCCTTGTACTGCGGTCACTTCTGGCCTATTGTACCAGCCCCAGATGATAGGTGAGGGTGATTGTGGAGCAATTGGCGGAATGAAGATTGGCAGGGGAAACCGAAGTACTCGGAGAAAACCTGCCCCAGCGCCACTTTGTCCACCACAAATCCCACTTCATCAGTCCCGGGATCGAACCGGGGCCGCCGCGATGGGAAGCCAGAAACTAACCGCTTGAGCTATGGCGAGGCCTTGGAGGAGGTTACCAGCGTTTCGGGCGAACCTTCTATCTCCAGCAGAACGTTGAAGATGGAGGAAGCATATTGCTTCGAAACGTTGGTAACCACATACAAGAATACGTGATATCATAACCCAGAAGACCACAATATAATTCCTTACTGTCGTGAAAACCTGAAATCTCATATCAGCAGCAATTTTGGATTTCAGGCAGTGTCTTATTTATTTATTTCAGGACGCTTTCACAACCACGAACTATATATATTCGATTGATAGAATGATCAGTGGATTGGAAAGGTTGTGGATGGAAGCGGTCGTGGCCTAACTTGGGGTACTATTATGGCATTTTCCTGGAGAGACTGACGAAACGCATGAAAGATCAGTAACTATACTCGGCCTGCCCGCCGAAATTCGGGGCCCCACCGAATGTGAAGTAACATCGACGTTCTTTTGCCGTCTTTGTTGCGTTCTCTTTCGTTTTCTTTTTATAAAATCATCGAGTTGCAGAAGTACGGCTCTAAAATTGCAGGTTAATTTCGTTCCCATTATCATATGATCTTGCCTTGGAAGCGAGTGACAGGGTCTGATTGATTGCTGCAGGATTACAACCTGAGTCGGGTTGGGTCGACTATGGCTGAAGGAGGGAGCGGCGGAAGTGGCGCCGCCCCTGATACCGGACACACTAACGGCGGCCAGCCCACCGCCCCCAACAGCACCGGCCTACTGCCCCTATCGCCTCCAAAGTCTGAGGTGGACGATTCTCCACTCCAGAAATCCATGGACAAGAACAAGGAGTGTAAGTACCGATTCGTATTTTTCTCTATGCCTTCTATATTGTGACGACGTGTAGTTTTATAGACTACTGACGTTTCGGAGGAACATATTGCTTTCAATATTCATAGTTGAATATATGTTAAGCAAGCAACACACAATAATCAATCCACATGCTTGAAGATGGGGGCAGTACTTTCCTCCGAAACGTCAGTGATCTACCATATTCGTGGCGTCACATCCTGGAAGGCCTGTTTCGGTATTCTCGTGTCGGTCATTCGTTCCAGATATTCTGACAGTCAAGTTACATGTTCCATCCTTTCATAGTCTATTGAATACTGTACGAGTATATACGGCTCTTGTCCGTGTTAATTCAGCGCTTAGATGATTCCGTCGTGTCAATGTTGGCAGTGTTTTTGACGTTTCGGATCTACATGCTGCTTCCATATTCAGATCCGAAGTGTGTACAGTCAATGTATTCCCACACACTCTTATTTCTATTGTCACGTATCCACAGTTTCGTGACTAATAATAACGGGTTCTGTATAGGCTGATTGGATTTATTAACACTTCTATTACAGTTACAATTAGTGAATATACGAGTGTCTTCTCTTCCGCTGTGACTGACTTGGTTCTGATTTGCGGATCGGTCACTTCTTCAGCTTCCGTTGTCTGCCGGTTAACACTCCACAGCTGAACACCGAACACTCTTACGAGTGACTCGGAATCACGGCTCACTCTCGAATGAACGGAACTAACTCTTCTATAACTTCGAGGCTAAATGAATGTATTGTTTTTTTTAATGCTAGTGGGGCGGGACTAAGTCCCTTGTACTGCGGCCACTTCTGGCCTATTGTACCAGCCCCAGATGATAGGTGAGGGTGATTGTGCAGCAATTGGTGGAATGAAGATTGGCAGGGGAAACCGAAGTACTCGGAGAAAACTCTTCCCAGCGTCACTTTGTCCATCATAAATCTCACTTGACCAGACCGGGGATCGAACCCGGGCCGCCGCGATGGGAAGCCAGCGACTAACCGCTTGAGCTATGGCGCGGCCGAACCGAATGTAAGTCACCATGTCCTACATTTCCTCTGTTATTCTGTGTTTAACCGTTGCAGCGGGAACATGTGTTCGGTGAGCCGTTGGCTAACAATGGACTTCCGCGCTAGCTCAACCATTCCGGCTCTCAGGCATCACATAAATATATACATGCAAGGGGAATAGTGGATGCTGATGTCCCATCTTGGCAAAAGGGACAGTTTTTCGTAACATAAATGTGTACACGCAGAAGCTCGTCCGCCCTACATACATCGATCCTGAAGACGATGTCAGAATGTACCTCCGAAAGGGCGGAAACACTACCCACATCAGGGCTTTGTAAACACCCAAGAACAGAATTATCATTAACAATTAACCATCGTGAAAGCTTCAATCAATTATTTATAATTCCTGTTGCATCCGTTACCGGTAAGCGTAAACGTCAAATGCTGCACAGAAATATAATTTAATTACAGGTACTGAGTATGATTAGGCCGGTCACGGTAGCCGTGCGGTCTAAGGCATGTACTGTCTTCGCTCGTTTGGAAGCCGGGATCGTGGGTTCGAATCCCACACAAGGCATGGATGTTTTGTATGTGCGTGTGTTTATTCTGTGTTTAGGTAGAGGCCTTGCGACGAGCTAATCACTCGTCCAAGGAGTCCTACCGACTGTAAAATGATCGTGAAACGGAAAATCAGAGGCCAGGGGCCAAGGTGCTGTAGAGCCAGTGGAAAAAAAAATGAGTATAATTTAGAATATAAAAATAGCCTAATCACTGGTTAATTCCCATGAAATTATACTTGTAAGTATTAAGATTTATCTTCTCAACACCAGCCTCCTTATCGTGTTTTAGCTCGGAGGCTATCATCAGTAGAAGAATTTTGATTGAAAGTGAAGATGACGTGGGGCCATTTCTCGTAATTTTTTGTCGTGTTTCCTGTAATGCCTTCAGTCGGTCCTTGTGTGATCTCAAGTACTTCTCAGACAGGTGTATCAAGGCGAGCGCGGTGAGTTAACTCTTTTCTCGGGTCTTTGCTTTCTTTTGACTCCAATGACAGCTGTATGGATTAGGAGTATAATGAATTTGCAGTTTCATCCTTTGAAAGTGACGGGATATTGTGAACGCTTTATGACGGTGTCTGGACCGGTAACGCGGATTAAGAGGTCCTTCACCTCAAATTAGCAAAGGATTCTTTTTGTAACCGTTACATCTAATGTTAACTGACAGGTTTACCACTATTCCCAGTCCCTTAAATCACGACCAGGCTTTCCGATCCGTAAGTTTTGGCGATACTTAAGTGTTTAAGTACTCGCATGTGGTCTAGTGGTCAGAGTTCCTGGTTACAGAGCCAGAGGTCCCGGTTTCAATTCGCGGCGCTACCAGATTTTCTGAGAAGTAGTGGGTCGGGAACGGGGTCCACTCAGCCTCCTGAGGATAATTGAGGAGCTACTTGAATGAAAAAGTAGCGGCTTCGGTCTAGAAAACCGAGATTAACGGCCGTGGAAATCGGTTGCGTTGACCACGCAACACCCTCTATCCTCTAAAGTTGGCAATAACTTCGCCGACAAGCGGCGGTCGCTCGGTCGGTATAGTTTGCTTGCGGACTAAAAGCCACGGAGTTCTTTTGAGTATCCAGACGGTGCTTTGTCAGTTGTTTTGTTTTTGAAACTTGTAATGACGTCTTTTCGTGTCAAAAGAATCGCAGTTGCAGTATTGACGATCAGATATTCATTTTGTGGTCCACCAGTCTTGATGTATTTAGTACGTTTCTTACTGTCTACAAGTATCGGGATAGCGTAGTATAGCGACTGGCTATGGGCTGGACTACAGAAGGGTCAGAGTTCAAGTCTCGGTAGGGCCAAGACTTTTCTCTTCTCCACGTTGTCCAGACCGGTTCTGGGGCTCACCCAGCCTCCTATCCAATGGGTGCCGGGGGCTCTTTCCCCGGGAATAAAGCGGCCGGGGCGTGAAGCTGACCACTCACCTCCATCTAGTGCCGAGATCAAGAAAATGTGGTACTATACATCCACGTCCCCATGCGTCTTCATGGCGTAATTTTAATTAATTAAGCACAGGGGCAACTTAACCTACTGTCTACACCTGTATTTGCTTGCAGTCTGCTATTGAAACTGCTTTGGTTAAGTAATGTTTCACCCGTGTTTATTTTACAGATGTGCCTAAGTTTGGTTAGCCAACCCCTTTAAGAAAACGTTAGTCAAATGAATCAAAATTTCGAGATCAATTCTTTCGCGAGAATACGTGCGTATACAGCTATCTGTGAGCCGTTTGTCTAGAGAAAATGTGGGAGCCTCGACGTCTCACAACCCTATGGGCCTCCACGCCCTGCTACAGGCATAGCTTTACGTTACTTTACCACATGTACGAGAAAGTAGAAAGACGAAGTTTATATGGCCGGTGGGCATGAAATGAGGAGAGTGCGTTAAGCCACCTGCAAGCATCGTACTCACTTCCTTCCGTCCGGCAGCGGAAATCATGCATGGGAATGATTCACAGACAAGCCCAACGTGAGCCATCAGGACATTGACTGCTCTCACACATCACAACACAGCTGTGGGTTCGAGACTTGGCACTGCATTTATGCGGGCGTTGCAATCACCTGCAAAGCGTGACAGATTGTTTGGTTATTGGTCTTTGCTTTATTGGTTTCTTTAGTCACCGTTTTAAATGCGTCGTCTGTGTATTAATTGACCGGATATTAACGACAGTGAACGGCGAATTGGAAGACACTGCATCATTATTTCCCAAGAAGAAGGTGCCATCAAAACAATTCTGTTGAACTGATCGGTATTCGTGCCGGGATTCGAATACAGAACGAATCGAGTACGAAACAAGTTCAGACTACTACACCATGACTGATGGACCACAGAATGAATTGAGAACGCTTGTTTCGTCGTCAACATTGCAACTAGAAAATACAACTTCGATTGTTTCGACACGAAAAGACGTCATTATAAACGGGAGGTTTAACTGGCAAAGCTCCGTTTGCACACCAACTTTAAAAAGTTAAAACGATTAAATAGGGTCGATCAGTGGGGCACGCGGTAGCGTAGTTGGTTGAGAGGATATGCTTCAAGCCGGAAGGTCGCGGGTTCAAGTCCCGATGAGGTCATTGGATTTTTTTCAGTTGATCTAATCCCTCCAGCCGCACTATGGCCCTGGGGTTGGCTCAGCCTCTAACAGAAATGAGTACCAGGAATTATTATATTAAATTTCCTGGGTAGTAAAGCGTGGCCGGCGCGGAAGGCTGACAACCTTACCGCCATCTTTGAGCCGATTGTCTAGATAATGTGGGACCCTCAACGTCTCACAACCCTATGGGCCTTCACGGCCTCGTAGAGGGATAGCTTTTCTTTTTTTTTTTTTTTTACTTTTACTGTCTTTCTGTGGTGACTTCCTTCATTAAGCTGAACAGAACACACTGACTTAGTCCGTTCCTCTTGCAACTTATGATGTCAAGTTTGCTTCTTAATTTTGATCATTTTGCAGACGGTAGGACTCCTTGGACGAGTGATGAACTCGTCGCAAGGTCTCTAGCTAAACACAGAACAACACAACGCAAAATAAACATATACACATACCAAACATCCATGCCTTGTGTGGGATTCCAACCCACGATCCCGACTTCTGAACAAGCGAAGACTACATGCGTTAGACCCCTCGGCTACCGTGACCGGCAACAAAATACACACATACATATATTAATGACCTCGGGTCCCACTTTCATGGGCAACTTCGTGTAATGTGGATGCTTGTTCGGCCCTAGAAGATGATTGCTGGTAGGATGACAGGAATGCCGTGGTTATAAGGCAGCTGGTGCCAAGGCCACTGTTACTACACGTACTTTTACCCTGTCTGAAATAACAGAACATAGCAAAAGGAAAAACGCCCTGCCTCGCCACTGAAACGTAGTCTATAAAGGGAATTTATATGCTTCATTTATAATACTGTAATTAAATACTTGTTG